CCCCAAAACCCCAAAACCCCAAAACCCCATAAGTAGAAGTAGATGCAATTCTTGAAAAAAAGATAATAGAGGAAATCTTAAAAGATTTGTAATATAATAAGAATATTAAAAATAAGACCTTAATACGTCTATAGCAGATGGTAAAAGTTAGAAAATTTAAAGGTTGTCTTGCAGACTAAGAAAATGCTAGCAAAATCATATCCCCACCCTATGATGTGCTCAATACTTAAGAGGCAAAGGAAATGGCAAGTGGAAATGACATGTGCTTCTTAAGAGTTAGCAAGCCGGAGATTGATTTACCTGATGGTACTAATCTCTATTCTCAGGAGGTTTATGATAAAGGAAGAGAAAATCTGCTTTATTTCAGAAAATAAGGATATATCAAAGATGACTCTGATGAGAGAATGTATATATACATGCAGAAAATGGGAGAAAGAGAGCAATATGGTATTGTAGCAATGGCATCAGTGGAAGACTACGAAAATGGGTTGATAAAGAGACATGAATTAACAATCAAAAAGAAAGAGGAAGATAGGACAAAATTATCAGATACCTAAAATGCTAACCTTGGCCCTGTGTTCCTAGCCTTTCAGGATGGTGAAGAGATTGAAAAGAGAATGATGGAAATAGCACTTACTGAGGAGCCTTATGCCATAGTAGATGGCCATGATGAAACTCAACATGTTTTATGGTTGTGCTCAGTAGATGACTCAGAGTTCTTCTAGAATGAGTTTGCTAAAATACCATGCACCTATATTGCAGATGGCCATCACAGAGCTGCTTCAGCATACAATGTAGGAAGGATGAGAAGAGAGAAAGCTGCGCAAGATGGAGTAGAGCTATCAGGGGAAGAGCCATTCAATTTTTTCATGGCAATTCATTATCCTGAGAGCAATCTTAAGATTATGGATTATAATAGAGTATTAAAGACATTGAATGACATTTCTAACGAAGATTTTCTTTAGAAAATTAGTGAGTCATATGATGTCAGCGGGCCTTTGGAAGAAGGAACCGACCCTAAGCCAACCAAGAAGAATGAATGCACTCTTTATCTTGGCAATTAATGGTACAGACTCTAGGTCAAAGATGACAAGATTGACAAATCAAACTTGATCAAATAGCTTGATTCCTAGTTATTAACGGATCTAGTGCTCTCCCCTATTCTAGGTATAACGGATTTAAGGTCAGATGAAAGAATTGATTTTGTTGGAGGTATCAGAGGTCTTGATGAGTTGACAAAGAGATGCCATGAAGATTCTGTTGCAGCCTTTGCAATGTATCCAGTATAATTATAAGAATTAATGGAAATTGCAGATGCTGGACTCATCATGCCTCCAAAGAGCACTTGGTTTGAGCCAAAGCCCAGGGATGGATTCATTAGTAGATGTTTTGATTGATTTAGCTTAGAAAATAAATTTATAATCCGAGATTGATATCAAAGTAAAATTTAACTGCACTTATATGTTAGACTATGTAATTAAATAATTTAAATAAGAGAGACCTTAAGTTTGGGTAATTTAAACTCTTAATAAATACGATTGACAAGATATGATGATAATCACTGCAAGAAGAGAGGTGAAGTGAGAGGGATATTAACGAAGGGGAAGAAATCCTCTGTGTCGTTGGTCTCCTCTTTGGTTCCATACATCTCTCTCATGGCGTTATCTGCAAATGTCTCGCACAATCTCTATAGAACTTGCTTCTCGACACCCTTGCCTGGCTTAATAATACCAATATAGAATCTTGGTGGAATACCGAAACGCAAAACTCCATCAATGAATGCTCTCATGACTTTCAAGTGCATCAAGCAGATGAACAGCTCACTGAAAGCGAAGTAGCATCTTGAAGCAAGAGAGTTCTAATAAAAAGAGTATTAATTATAAGTGATTTCTAGTTACCTTTTATTGTTCATAGCTGGTCTCAAGTCTGGTCTTTTATTGGAGATCTTCTTGATACTTCTTGTAGTCATAGACAAACTTTCTGAAGGTGAAGCCCTCTTGTCTTCCTCTTTGGAGATAGTCATCAATCTTGTTACTAACGACAACTACTCTGTGGAGTTGATTTCCCTCCTTATCTTCAATGCCAAGATATTTCAATGAACCTGGAACAACACATGGAATTTCACTATCTCTAATAAGTCTTTCGTAGACTTCTCTGAACTGGTCGTACTTGGTCCTAAACTTCATAAAATTCAGTTTGAATTTACTTGTGGAGGACAACGACAACGGTTGAGAGGAAAGTAGTCTTGTGAACTTCAACGAAAAGTTCATCAGCCTTAATGTTTGGGTCACTGTGAATAACATCAGAGATATCCTTGTTAAGAAGAGTGGTTCCATCTTTCTTGACCATTTGAGTTAACTCGTTCTTCACCTCATTTAAGTTATCGTTCAAGGTCTTAATGTCGTTATCAATTTGTCTCATTCTCTATAATAAAAGTTATCTTCATTAATCTTTATATTACCTCTGAGATGAGTCCAGCAATTTCGACAAGAGATCTGCCTCTGTGGAATTTATTGTCATCCCAGTTGAAATTCTTGATGTAATCAGCAACATCGACTATCAAAACATTAAGACTCTTTGAAAATAATATGATGAATATAAAATATCAGGAGAGGAGTAATTTTGGGAAAGTTTGCAAATATTAAACATCCCCCTTCCTCAGAACCAATATCTCTCCATATTAAGTAAAATTTTTGAATCTGTTTACCTTGTTGTTGCTTTGTGACCTCAATTTTCAAGTCTCTGCTGACCATCTCTCTTGCCTACTTTTCAATCTTCTTGACAGTGGAATCAAGAGTTTAGTCAACCTTTTGCAAGGTCTCGTTCAACTCCATTAATGAGTCTAATGTTCCTACCTTAAAGCGAGCCTTGTCCAGCTATATCCATAACATGAGATTCAAGAATTTAAAAGTAATTATTATTGCCTACATTGACATTGAAGACTTCAGCGAGGGCTTTGCTGCCAGAACCGACTGCAGAGGTGACATATCTCTCGAGCTCGGGCTCCTCTTTGCCTTGAATGAAGCAAGCTACTACGTTGAAAACCATATTGCAAGATATTATCTATTATATTAATTATCAATATTATTAATATTATCTTATCTCTTCTCTTAGAATGACAGTCTCCTTTATGGGGTTTTGGGGTTTTGGGGTTTTGGGG